TTCCATCGTTCTATCGCCCTTTCTACCATCCAAGTACTTTAGATCGCAACAACGATCAGTGAAAGGTTAGCAGATACCGCGAAGGACTACGCCCTTCGAATGAAACCAAGGTGTTCTTGTCAGTCTAGGGTAAACTATACCGTGGTTAGACTGTTTCGACCGGGTAGTTATGAATATATTATTTTGTTTCGCTTTCGCTTCGATGGATCAGTTAATGTTAGGTATCACGTATCAGTAAGGGCATTTCTAATTACACACAAGACCGAGAGACAGCGTGTCTTATACTCTAATTGCGAAAGTTCACCGAACACTTTCCCGCTTAATGCTAACATGCATGATCGATTAATCGGTCGTTCTTTCGCTAATTTATCGTTAAACGAAGGTATCCAAAGTACAATAGACAGAGCGAATTCGACACTTCAATGGTGAAAATTCATTTCTAACGGTTTCCTCCTGGCTCTCATTACCACTCGACCTCCTTCCACCGTGATTGCATTAGTGGTATCCGATCTGCGGTCACGGAAATAATCGTGCATCAACCCTTCACGGCAAATCAGTCGCATGCCTTGCGGTCGTGCAGTTCGCGAGAAAGCACACAACCCAGAAAACCGAAACGTGCCGAGTCGATTTGTGTCTGACGCCAGACGCCATATAATAGATCAGTCCGTACATACAGACACACCGAAAAGTCTCTTTCCACCGAGTACGCCCCTGCTGCTCTTTGTCTCCTGTTTCTTTAGGGGTTTACGTGGACGTTTGGGTCGCGATGCCTCGCGGTGGCTCTCGCGCGCCTCTTGGCCCGGAGGGGCCCCGAAAACCTAACCTCAAAACGCACACGGATAATTGGGGATAATGTCGGGGTTGCCGAGGCCCCGTAATTGCACGAGGCCAGGCCCTTTCCAGGCTTCCCTTCCTTCCCCATCCCTGAATGCCCCCCTCAACACACAGTTCCTCGTTCTTCGCCACGCTGGGCCCTTTCGCTAGCTGTCTGTCCATCCGTCCGTCCTGCTACGTCCGTCTGTCGACCGCTTTCGCAGAACCCGATAGTACCTAATTCGTCGGTTTGTTTCGTGCTGCCGTGTTATTACGCGGTCCTGGCCCGTGTAGCAGACTTGTGCGATCCGCTCGCCATCCATGATCCACCGCGAAAGAAGATAGTCGGCCGTGACCTCGAAAATGGAGCTCTGAGACACTTACGCTTGGACATCGACGCTGGCCCAACTGCCTCGAGCATCCTTGTTCATTTTAACGCGTTAGCTTCTACTACTTGGTCTAGAGCTAATAGCTTACAGAAATGACTAATCCATCGTATCGAAAGAAAATCGAAGAGTTTTCTGAATTTTTAGAATTATGCAGGTTCTGGAGAATTTGAACTTGATTTCTGATACTACCGATTCTTTAGACACATTGTCAAGCATGAATAACTGTTCTCGTTAATCGAGCTGAAGTAATATATTCCATGGTTAAATGTGCCTCGAAGTAAAAACAAGTTGCCGCATGCAACTGTCGAATCGATAACGTGATTATTATCCTGAAGCATCGAATCCATTGTTTTGTTACGATTAGTACATGGTGCCAAGATTACACTCAACGATCTCGAATTATCTTGTTTCCATCGGATTAAGCTTGATACAATTATCCAATCCGCGAACAAGACGAGGGCAAACATTAAGCCTTCTCTAGTCTACCAAAGGACTACCATCGACACGACTGTAATGCGATTTATTAGCGAGAAAAAACTTTTAATTTGTGCCTTCCGTAAATTTGATTAGTCGTTTCCAATACCCGTGACGCAAGAATAGAAAAAGCGTGAAATGTCAGACAATGGAAAGAGAAGCGAAACCAATTGAACTTTGAAATTTAAAAATTCTTAGCATCGAGTAGAAGCGTGAGGAAAATAGTATTGCATCGATAGTATCGGAAATTGTCTGTGACACCATTTAATAGCGAATGTTACAAATTAACAGATATTCAATTAACTGGAACTTCCGGCAAGCTTGAACCATCGAAGTTAGAAAAACAGAAGTAAACGCTGTGGCTTGTAAAATTTTTTATGATCAGAGATTTCAGAGGACAGCAAATTAAATTATTTGGATTTTTAAGGACTGAAATTATTCGAAGTAATTCAAAACAAAATGAACTTTAATTTCACTATGAAATACAAAATTGTTTCGTAAATCTACTAGATGAGATCTCTCGATTAAAAATTTTCTGAAGTTAACAATTTGTATTAAGAATTCAGCTCGGTAAATTGGATCAAAAATTCTTTCTGTTGTTTGATGCACTTAACGAACAAAATTTTGAATTGATGATCGCCCTTCTTACTGTTTTAGTAGTGATTTAATCATATCGAACACTGAAACGAAATATTGATCAACGAGGTCAGAATCCTAGAAAGCCGAATGTGTCTTCCTTGAAGTGGGACACATCGGCACATTTAGGCTATCATTATCCACATCTGCCGCGGTTGCCCCACAAAATAGAACAGAGTCTGTAATTATCGTCGTCTTAGAGGATGTATGTTCTTTCATTCTTACATCTTGGTCTTTGTTTCTACAGATCGGGGGGTCATCGTATCGTCGTTAGTGCCCTTCTTGCTGGTCTAATTCAAAGGTGCTCATTTGTACGAATGTTTCCTCCAATATTACCGAACTTCTTTCGGATTTCCTAGAACTGGAACATCAGGATGTCCTAGTGCTCCTACTAGATAAATCATTTACTCTGTCCTGAATTCATTCTAGCAACGAGAGAGAGCTAACTTCACGGTACCTGCTAGCCGTCGGATGAGCAAGTATAAGAAATTTCGTTTGATCGCGAATATTTCGACGCGATAATGTTGAAGGCCGGTTCGAAGAAGAAGCTACCGACGCACACTAAGCCGTTTTAGAAGAATAAGCGTCCTTGTGGATGATCAAGGTCACATTTCTGAGACAGAATGAAATCAGAAGATGGAAGGATCGATTCGCCTGCGGGAATATCAAAACCTGTGGATGGGCTTTGGTACATCGATCGTGAACGGGAGTCCGTTCGATAACTAGGAGGATCTTATCTCAAGGGCTCCCAGTTTCGACGGTCCTCGTACCTCGAACTCTTAAAAGGTGTACCCTCGAGGGGCGATCGTGCTTTGAGGGCGCCGCATCGCGCCAACCACGCCTTCTCCACCGTTATTTACCTCCGTCCTTTTCGCCCTTGCAGTTTTATTGCCTCTTTCTTCCCCTTTTTCAACGTTGGTCCAGCAAGCCCGGGAGCGATAGATATCCTCGGCATCAATAAGGATCCGACGGCTTTACTAATTCTACGATCCGCATAGATTTATATCAAGTGGAATGTTATTTTGAGATTATAGTTACAACATTCCTTTTGATAGAAAAGAATTTCGAAGAATTCGCGTTTATGAAGATTCGGATTTAACTGTAATTGCCTGAGCATAAAATGTATTCGAAGAAGCAACAAATAGATGAATAAAATAACAAGTATTTTATGCACGAAGTGAACTGTATTGTGCAAGCATGTATGTATGTAGTTTTCAAGGAAGATAAATCTTCCGTGACAGTGATGCCTGGCCAGCGGCATGTTGAAGGAGTAGAAGAATTTATCTGAAGGACAAAGCAAAACGAAGAAAAATTTGTTCTGCAGTAGTTAGCGGTTAGAATATAAATTGCGTATGCTAATATTTTATCGTCGCTGAATTAACATACACTGAATTAATAGTATATTAATAAGCGTTCCTAGCCAAATTTTATAAAATAAGAGGAATTACTATATCAAACTTAAACATCGAATCAAGAACTATCCAATTCCTCAACACTAACGTGATTCATAACTTAAATATCTCCAAGTAAAACCCAATATTTTAATGAAACCTGTTTTCAACGAATTTTAAGCCCAAACTTTCTTTCACTTACGAAAATCACTATCCAGAATTCATCGAAGGAAAATATTGTGTACCAAAATGGCGGCCATTCACAATCACACTATGCATTTTAATACATGGTGTATCACTCATATGAAAAATTAGTGCCAAGGTAGTCAAGATACACAATTTTTCGGTAACACTAACTGCACTTGGACGTACACACTGTCATTTTAAACTATCACTTTTCATATATGAAGGAAAAAAAAAAACGAAAGAAAAGATATTCGCAACGTGGAGTTGAATGAAACCTTAGTCAAGGTCACCAAAATGGCGGCGATTTAGTTGACTCTTGATAGATCCAAAGATACTGAGATCTTATTCTTGGAATCGAAACAACGTGAATTTAAGAAGAAATAAGGTGACAAAGAAAACAGAAACCGTTGATCCATAGTCCAGAGCGGAGCACACAAGACAGGCAGGTGTAACGCGTAGCGGCAGTAGACACCAACTGATCTCACATAACAACGGCCGATAAAATTGTTGCGTTTCCACCAAAAATTATCCTCTTTTTTTCCTTCGCGGTATAAAAAGTACAAAATTGTGGTAATTTAGCCCCCACCGCCATGGCGGCGATGCTCCGCTCGCTTGGCCACAGGGAGGAGAGATGAGTGAACAAGAGCGTAAGAGATGGGTAGAAGAAATAACAGAGAAAAAGACGAGGATGGGACATATTAGAGACAGAGAGGAAAGAAGAGGAACGGGAAAAGAGGAAAGTAAAACAGAGACCTTTTGCCCGTGAACACGCTGCACTAACAATACGGAACAATTACTGTTCAATGTAGCTGACGTTAATAACAATAGCTGAGATAGCTTCATATGTTCAGCTTATTCTCCCTCCCCCCGCCTTAAAAAATATATTATGAAACATATTTTAAAAACGTATGTCGTATTCGTAGTGTAGCCAGCGTGTGTAACATATATGGGAAATGTAACATGCAAACATTTAACGTAAGATACAATTGCGTCAAATAGAGCAATCGTTGTGAATGTATGAGTATGTAATTGTGAAATCGTTATCGCGTGCACATTGAATCGTTACAGTTAAAAAAAAGAAGCTTTATCAGAGAGAGTACAATACACTTACCAGCATGAAATTTTCTGCATGCGTTATCCACAGCTTGGCGTAGATTCGAAAACACAAAATCACTTTGACACACGTTGAAGGAATTCTTCTAAATGATGTTGGATTTCACTAGCACGGCAACTTGTGCTCTGTACTGCTGCTCGTGTGAACTCGCTCAATGCTTAAGCCACCGAGAAGGGGCATACTATGAAATTAGTATAATCACGATCAAAATTACTCGCACCAGGCAGTGCTGGAACCACCAACCGCCGGTCAAATAACCCGCCCGACCATCGCCAATCAGCGATCGCGAGTTGGCGGCCATCTTGCGCGATACAGTATGCGCATCGACAGCCACAAATTACCACAAAAGTGGATAATCTTTGCTCACGTGGTGTGTACTATAACAGCAAGTATGCATGTATCTCTTGCTCCATCGCTTCATTCCAAAAACTGGGGACAATTTTGGAATATGCTGAATGAAACTACCTATCATGTATTGTTCCCATGAGCAAAAATATATATTTGCACATAAATTAAAAATAGGCATGCACAGGTTCAAATAAGATATCTGTCTTAATTCCGAATAAGGCACGAGTGAATAGTTCTTTCCATTTAAATGGTAATCCGTTCTATTAAGTATCCTTTGACTCTTCTTCACTTAGTGTTGTACAGCACAGCTGCATTATTCTGTCGCATTCAGAGAACTTTTTTTTCCGTGTTCAGTGCACGAGAAAAAGAAACTGCACGCAAGCCGAGACCACGAAACGTAATCGCGCTTCGAACTCTCTCACGCAGGCTGGTACAAGGTTGTCGTCTTCCATTTATGGCGCAACCGTGCACCGTGTAATTATAAGAACAAAATATTTAGACTGCTGCTCTAAAAGCGATTCTTCATGCACGCAGTAAAATAATGGCAGCTTTCACATGGATCTGTTCCAAATTTCTAATTAGTCCTCGTTATTTATCTTCGTTAGCACTGGGAGTACTTTTCACTGAAATTAGTTAATAACTCTAATACACTCTAATGCACATGTAATTTTCTGCGAGCCGTTAGTCGATCCGGTGAATGACACTTAGATAGTTTAAATAGCGTTACATATTTTTCTCATTTGGCTCATCATAAACTAATTAGCGACATCTGATAAGTTGATAACATTTTTCTCTGGCGTCGCCCACGTTGATATATTCTATGCTTATCTGATATGCACATAGATGCAATTGGGTAGGTGTACAATCCATCTTAGTGCACATGCCTCACCCGAAGGGGATTTTTGAAGCGCCGTGTTATGTTTTGTTACGTTACGTCACGTGGACTGGCCCCCTGATTGTAGTCGTTAATTATCGGTGGTTGCGGCTAACCGAAATTAGAGGATTCGAGGTCGCTACTCCTCTCCCGTGTTAAGAGTAAAAATAAAATTACCACTGATCTCTTACGCTGTGCATAAAAAAAACAACGAACACAAACGAGTCCATGTTCGTGAACGTAAGAGAAGAAGCTAGAACCATAAAATGATTACCATAAAACCAATATTATCAACATTACATTTTTGATAGACTTCGAAACATTATGCGACGTTTCCTGAGAATTACGCATAGAGTATGCATACTGTTAACTATGGAGATTTGCATTGCTAAAAGCAGATAAGAAGAAAACCGCAGATAGGGAGGAAGGGCGTAGCATAGCAGATTCCTGCCAGTCCTTCTGCCGTTTTTCGAGACGTATACTATCTGTTATACCCGGGGCACGAATACGAATTAGGACCAAGTCGCAACAGGATCGAGTCCCGCCGATTTCGAGTATGCTGATGCCTTGGGCAACGATAAGTTGCTGCAGTGGGTCTAGCCACTGCTCTGCCCTCTGTAATTATACCGTACACAACCGAACGTTGTCTTGCTCTTTCTTCCTACGTTACTTTCTCCTTCATTTTCCACCATTCCTTGTCTTCACTGGATGCTTCTTATTGTTGAACGCGTGTTTCGTCGACCGTGGTCCCGCCGGGGGCGAAGGTTGCGTTCGAGCAGCCGTCTTCGAGACTCTGCTGTTCCGTTCCACCCTCTTCATCCGTTTCATTTGCTTTGTTCCACTTACTACATTTCTCTTTTATTGTTCAATAATGATTGCGCTACCCGGTCTGTCACTTTTTCACAGGCAACCACGATTCTCACAATTTAAAAGCAAACAAAAAGCAGCGTATCCAGCTACAAGCATCAAAATTATTTATTTACATTATCGATGAGCAATTAATACGAATCTTTAATTAATGATTCGATCCGTTAAATGGATGGTTACGTATATTGTCGATCGAATATCGTTGCTGCGTTCGATTTCGAGCAGACAGATTATTTGCATCTTCGATGCCTGAAGCATAAGCTTCTGTGAATATTTGTACGACGATAATTGGTTCAGGAGCAGCAATCCGTTCGCGCGATCACTTCAATATATATATAGATACACATCTTGAACAGTATTTCGCAGCGCGATCGTAATTTTGCATCGCGACTTAATATTCGTGAAAAAAGCAGGTCGCCTGTGGTTGGTTGCCGTCGGACGATCCACAACAAGTTTCCTTATCCGAGCTTTCTACAGTATTTATTTTATAAATTATAATCACGTTTCTCTGCAACCACTGCAGTTTCTTATATTTTGTTGGCTGAAAGTGGTCATAATCGTGCACACTTCAATAACAGCGATGCCGCAAAGGAATAACGTAAGTACGTCAAGTTGATTCGTTTACCAATTTGCCAAAATAAAATTGTTAACCATTGTGGGTCTTTGTAATAGTCTAAAGCCTACGGCAGCTTTGATAAATTGTAGTAATCTTAGATAAACATGACTCATATGACAGGACATCATCGATGAACTAGCACGTTGGTGCTAGTCTTGGATGCTGAACGTGAGACTATGTTACATACGATATTTGCGTAGATATAAATATGCGTGAATCTTCTATATAAGTGTGTAGAAATGCATCAGCACTTGCAATGAGTCAGTGTACCGCGATTTTCCAGCTATGTGCGCTCGCTGACTGCGAGATTTATGATTTGTTACGTAACAACATTCCGCTGGTATATTTAGTTTCATATACATGATATACATAATCATTTCTCAGACTAGTGAATGCACATTATCCGAGACATCCGATAGTAGATAATGCCGTGTACAGAAGACAGTGATATACTGTCTGTTAACACGAATCCGACGCTCCATTAAATAATTACGCAAACCGAAATATGTCGATTTTTATACATCTTTGCATTTGTACATACTTAATTCCAATAAAAATAATGAAAAATTCTTTTGATATGATATTATAGTTAATGATGTAGTCCGTGTTTTGTTCTTTTATTACATATTTGTATTTCATGCATGCGTTTCAATTAATTTGTAAAATAAATAGATTATAGAACCGTTACTTCTACAACTTCAAAGACTTCAAGAATGTTGTCAGGCTAATAGTGACCAGTGTGTAGTGAGAAAAAGGAAGAATTGCGACAATCAATTTCATATAATATGCAAACAGTCATCGAACAATACACAAGAAGAGAAGGTTTCGGTCAGTGAAGGCTTGCGTGCAAGGTACCTGGCCGATCAGAGACGTAGAGTGTTAGAAGCAGGCGTGATACCGCTTTTTGCAGGTTAACCGACGATACCACGGCATGCTAACGGTCATGCGATACACTGGGTCACGCATACAAAAAGAAATGCACACATATGCAATATTTTTGCATTCATATCCATTGTTCAATGGAACGACTTGAGAATTTCAAGGTAGATATCTCCTCTTCTGCTCGTCCGTTCCTCTTGAATTTCGTTTCTTCCGACAGAAACAACTGCAATTTGATAGAAAGTTCTTCTCGACTGCGGTGAACCATTGGGGTGCGATGGTAATCCACTTTACCCGTCACACCTCGTATATGCCAGACATTGATTTTGCATTATCGTTACCAGTAAACCAAACCGATTGGCTCCCCTTTTCTCCGTGTTCACATAGATACAGAAGATATCTTGGTATATGGATGGTCACGTATAGATGCTTGTCTACAATGTGTTAGTGTTTGTATTTGTACGAAGGGAGCAAGCCTCGGCGCGGAAGGGTGCAGCACGCAAAGTCGAGGGCGGCGGCAACCGCAATATTAGATTAATGGCGGATGTACTTCACTTTCGGTGCCCAATCGTTTCCCGGCGTAGATTTCGTCGGAAATTGAACTTCTCGAATTAAACTTCTCTCATTTGTCAGTCAAAAAAATTGAAAATTGCCTTTAATCACTCGATGTTGATATATACCTCATATGTACGTTTGTGACTTGTATTCCGTTATTTACGTAAGAATTAATTCAAACAGATAGAAACAGTTGTTTTATCTCGTATCTGAGATCACCGCGATACAAGATGCAGATGCTTGACTAAATTTTAAGAGATCCACACGACAACGTATCGTCGCATAGCATAAAGAAGCATAAATCAATGTACAAAAAAATAGAAAGTTATAGCCACCGAGACGTCGAGGCAACGTCTTTGCTTGAACAAGCGGCAGCACCGGGATGGCCTCGAGGGCTGAACGAGGTGGAAGAGCAGAATGGGAGATCCCGAGCCTTGATCGTGATAAGATGCAGCGGCGTCGTCGGTTGACAAAGGGTCGTAGGAACGCCCCCTCAGATCCGACGTGCAACCGCTTGCGGGGGCGTACATATTAAAATTGGACCCCCACCTCTGACCCTCTATCAACCATTCGCCGATCTTGTTTATTACTGGCATGTACAATCACGTTACCAGAAAATATGATCCCTTTTATCGAAAACTCTAACCTCTGTTCACCAGCTCGTATCTTTGTACCGTAACTTCGTTGAACACTGCGATTTCAGAACATCATACTCTGAAGGCATTCTGTTGTTAAAATACATACACCAACTTCAATGCGTATTATATTGCATCACACTTATGTATTCATTTCGTTGTTGTCTGTGCTTTTATGCTAATTATCTTGCAATCTTATGCATTTATGCGCTTCCTTTATAATAATAAAAAATAATATGTATTCTATGTAAACAGTTTGTAACATTGTATGTTAAATTATTTACTAAAACGTTACTAACCTATAAAGCGTTAGTAAATGTATAACCCTATATCTTTCATATACAATAGTATACATACACAAAATATCATGTACTTTCATTGTATCATTAAATAGTTTGAAATATTATACATTAACCTATAATGTATTATCAAATATTCTAGCATGACAGCATCTTTTCTGAACAATAATACCCTCTAAATTCGATAGGGAAATATAAATGCAGATACATGGATAACAAGTCGAGATTCAAAACTGCCACGAGAATATTCGTTATACATACATATATATATTCTCTATACTTTACTCTTATTGTCATTCTTACTCTTCAATATCGTTAAAATGATCGAATAAATATATACAGATTGAATAAAATAATGAGTGCAGAAAATTAGATTGTTACCTGTTAATCGTTTCACATCCTATCATTTGTTGCACACCGTGCATATACATGTGTATATGTGTATATATATATATATATACGAACGCCAACGGTTAACTGTAACGGTCAACTATAGTTATTAATTTTACCTACATGTTGAATTGCGGCGATATTATTGCGAAAAAATATTGTTCTTTACTTATTAGAAAATATAAGTGAGTAGTCTCATCTTCTATGGGTGTTTCTAAATCGAGTTGGATCCCTTCTTTCTTGGCGAACAAAACTTTTCCTGCGGAAACGTTAACACAGCGTCTGGCATCCATCTTGTAGTGTGTGACCGTATCGACGTACAAATTGAATAGGCGAAGTTGCTTAGTGCTGCCCTCTGAACTATACCGGCTGAAACACGGTAAGAAATCTTGTATACTTGGTACTTGCTTTTGCCGCATAATTTTATAGTACGAACGTCAAACAATCTTTGAGCGTTAGTTTAAATTTATTAAATTATCGGTGCCGATTTTTGAATACATTTGTCGAAAGTGAAACAAATAAGTGATGTTTCCGCAGAGTTCACAGAGAAGATATTGGATATTTAGCGATGAAAACGATTTAACAGCGTTAAGAGAGAAAACAAATACAGAATTTATTCAAAAACATGGCGCAAGTATGACGGTGAGTTATGTTATTTAAAGTAGTAAATTAACGATGTATTTTGATTTTCAAACCTTTGTCTTGCGATTGATCATTGAATATTATTGTAATAAATTAATGAAATTTATAGGTTATGTAAATATTTAACTCTATTAGTAATCGTACTTAAATATGTCAATATATATTGTTTTATAGAAATTTTTAATTTGTTTTTCATTCATTTTTTGTGTTTGTGTTTCATTCATTATATTATTTATTCATTATTATATTATTCATTTCTTATTATTTGTTATTATATTATTTTGTAATTTGGGTGGGTACAAATTGTTATTTTGTTAAATTATATGAAATTTTATTGTTATTTTATTATATGAAAATTTATTATTATTTTCTTAAATTATATAAAATATATATTTTAAAAAGCCAGAGCAAAGGGCAGAGCATTTTCTATCCCACACAGAGGAACGTACATTACTTCGTTTCTATGAAACACAATTAAGAGACTTTTGTCGTCGTTTTACACCTTCAATGCCACGTCCTACCGTAGCAACTGCATTGCATTATTTCAAAAGATTCTATCTCAGAAACAGTGTTATGGATTATCATCCCAAAGAGATATTAGTCACATGTGTCTACTTGGCTTGTAAAGTAATACTTCCTCCAAATAATTTATTTATGAATTGCCACAATACAGTTTGTTACAGTAGTTCATTTTAGGTAGAAGAGTTCAATGTATCTATATATCAGTTTGTGGCTAATATTAAAGGAGATAGAGAAAAGGCATCAGATATTATACTTAATAATGAATTGCTCCTTATGCAGCAATTGAATTATAATTTAACAGTGCATAATCCATTCAGACCTGTAGAGGGTTTCATGATAGATATCAAGGTATATATTTAATACCTTTATATCAGTACAAATCAGTGAAATCTAGACAAATTTAGTTGATGTATTTTTAGACAAGATATACTTCTTTGGAAAATCCAGAAAGATTGAGGCCATATATCGATGAGTTTTTTGAAAAAATATTTTTAACTGATAGTGTTTTACTATATACCCCAAGTCAAGTTGCATTAGCTGCTACATTACATGCTGCATCTAGGGCATCTGCTAATTTGGATAATTATGTAACTGATATTTTGTTTTCCAAAGAACATTTAGGGAGTATAATAGAAGCAGTAAGAAGTAAATATCCTCTCTCATTTATGCTATTTTATATTTTCTACAATACGTTTTAATATAATATGTATTATAGAAATAAGATCTATGGCAAAATGTGTAGAATCACCTTCAAGGGAAGTGATAAGACCTTTAGAAAAAAAATTAGAAAAATGTAGAAATCAGGAAAATAATCCTGACAGTGAAATGTAAGTATAGTCATAAGTTTTAAATTATAATGTAAATTTTATTTAAGTAAGCATTAAATTCTATTATAGTAAGTATTAACGAGATATTGTATTATTATATTTTATTCTATATTGTATTATTATAGTTATAAACAAAGAATGCAAGAAATGTTGGATGAAGAAGATTTGCAGGACAATGAAAAATATGCTAAAATTATACAAGATCAAGCAGCTCATGATGAGAAGATCTTGGGTGTCAGCAAAGTTCTGTCTCCTTCAACTTTATAATAAAATAATATTTTGAATGATATTGATATCATTTTTTATACCTTTAGCCACTGTATAATCAATAAATAATTTATTAGTTTATACCTTTTGTAGTAATATTCATGGAAGGATTACAATATTTATTAATACTAAAATATCTATCACTTAAAAATGTATTCGTCAGTTTTTTGTTATAAAACTTATTTTCTATATATATTGTAGCTTTCTAAATAAATGCGAATGGTAAGCTTTTTGTTCTATCTTACTTCTTTTTTGTACATCTAATTATACAATTGTAGATATTTAGTGTTTGTTAAATATGAATCATGTTTTTGAGGTGATATGTTCTCAGTACAAATTTTAATTTCATTTTGGTATCATTAGCCATTGACATAATAAAAAAATTAACTCATCCTTTAGAACATTCAAAAACACATATCACACATCTCAATTTATAAGAATTTGATCCTGCACGATAATCAGTGTTGCACATAACTTTTTTATTAACTGATTTTATGTAATGTAAACACTAGATTCTTTTTATGTCTAAGAATCTTGATGCCTAAAATCTAATCTTTGATTTAAATGATATGTCGGATTACTCGTGGAGATATTTTGAAAAATCGGGGTCTGCTGACCTATTGTTAAATTACTTGGCAATGGCTGCATAATAGGCAAAGCAGATGGTAAAGGAACAGTTGCTAAATGCTGTGGAAAAATCGGTGCTCCTGGTTGCAATTGCGTTGGATAATTAAAAAACCTGCACAAAAATTTCCTCTTTAAATAGAGTCACATTTATATTGAATATTGATATTTACCACAGACGATCCTCGACGAAAATTGGTCTGGGCGCAGGAATACCCAAACTAGAATAGTATTGTTGCGCCAGGAGCTCCACATCATTTGTGTACTTTCGTTTCCATTTCGTACGTCTATTTTGAAACCAAATTTTAATCTGTAAATACAAGAAATAACACAAAAATTAAAAAATGCAGATATCAGTGACTATTATTCGTGTTATAATTAGTCGAAGTAGCCTGTTGAGAAAAAATACTGATACAAGAAATCTTATCAATTAAGAAAAGTCAAAAAATATGTATATGTCAAGACCAAGCATTTTTAAATTCTTTTTAAAGAGTTTTTTCACATTTAGAACTAAAAATATTGCCCTGGGTGAGGATCGAACTCACGACCTTAAGATTATGAGACTTACGCGCTGCCTTCTGCGCTACCAAGGCATTTGTGAAGCTTTACAACAGTATATTTGACCGTGCAACTTTTGCAAGCTTGTGCTTTTTGTAATATATAAATAATAAAACTTTATTATTTATATATTGCATATTGTATAAATAATAAACTTTGTTCACTTGTGCAAGAATTCAATAATTTTCAAGGAATCTCGTGAACTGAAAAAAACACAAACTCAAGTTTTCATGCGGAGAACTGGATCAGTTCTGATTAGGATGAAAAGATGAAACATGTGAGGCAGCTCGGGAAAAAAATAATGTCACCATCTTGGACATGATTTCTACAGAATTTTCTAAAGGGGAACGCCTAAACCGGATTCAGAACAGTAATATATCCTAATTAAAAAATCGACGCCTCTTCGGTCCGTCGCCTCGAAGCATCCGTTGCCCTAAGATTCTTCGTTCTTGCGGCATGTTGGAAACGTACACACGAATCGGAGGAACAGTAAAGCAAGAAGAAGGGGACTCCCCGAGCTGGCTCGTTAACTACGAGAAATATTGTGACAGTTATGTCTGCGCCACAACACGTCTCCTTCTTCCCTGTGATCCGTCCTCTGATCATCCTTCCCTTTTGCTGTGATCGCGAAGATAATTATCTAAGTCATTCGGGGCGCTCCGCGATATTTCTACCGCTCTGGGAATTATCGTAACTCGCAACATTGCTAACTTGGACGATTGCTACTCGACCAGATAGAAAATATTTCGGGTATTATCATAAATTAATTAGTTTAAAGCGATGCCACGTTCCATCCTATAAAGCAAATGGAAGAATTATGCAAGTGCTGCAATCCATTTCTACAACTTCGCGCAGTTAACCGGAGGATTATCTAGATCTTCGTTGAAAGCCGAGCACTTTGGATTGCGAGGATAATATTAGAAGTTGGAAACTGAATTACATGAAAAACTGAGCAAAACAGGGAGTTGTTTGAACGTTTATGACACGCAAAAAGGATAGAATTTCTAGGTAGAGTACAATTTTTACGCACGATGATTAATTGAAGATTTCTGCGAAAGGAAAGAGCTCTCGTTTTGCGCTCTCGTCTCCTGCTTGCGAGAAGAAAGGGCGTATAAGTGCTAATTGGTCCTAAAGGGCAATCTTCCCCTATGGCGCCACGATCTGGCGCCTAAACATATGGTAGCCTTCAAAGCTATAATTCAGTGCCCAGTTGATTTTGAGGAGCTTGGGGTACATGGAACTTAAACTATTTCAGGTGCCCTAGCCTACGGAAGTCGCTATCGCAATTTATTGTACGCTGTACGTCTTGTCCGAAGCAACTTCCGTAAAATGTGTTTCCCTTTAATCACAAGGGAATCTTGCTTAGCCTCGGTTCTTCTCATTATTATGAATTATAATGAGACAATTGTTTTCCTACGTGAAGCCGTTAGATAGATCAGTTTTCGTTCCGCTACTGTTCGAAATGAATAATGATACAAATTACATAATACGTACCTGAGTTTCAGTCAGCTTCAGACTTTTACTGAGCTGCAATCTCTTCGCCACGCTTAGGTATTTGTTCCTCTCGAATTCTGCTTCTAATGACTTAATTTGTGCCGCGGTGAACGCCGTACGAGGTCTTTTCTTTCTTTCGTCATCGCTAATGGCGCTGTCACTTTTTTCTTGAGCTTCTTTATCTGCACTTGTGGAATTGGCACCGCTGCTGCTAGTACACGCCTCTGGTAACACCGTGAAAAAGATTATACTCTTCCTACGCCGCGATGTACATCGGGCAAGAAATGATAATTAAACATTTCCTTATCGTGTAATCATCGAATAATTGCGCAATGCCGACCGTGTTACTTCAATGCGATTAAGTGGAATGAAAACGCGTCGTGATTAAATGAGCTCTAATAACACGCGTCTCACGCGAGATTAAACAGCAGGCTACCGCAAATTATAATCTATAACATTGTATTCGATGTTTGATCGCGGGTAAACGGGACTAGATTTAAACAACTGACGCGATGACAAAAGCCTATCATTAATTGTAAAACGGTGGTTTATGTACCGTGACGTAGCCTGTTCTCGTTTTAATTGCTTTTAAATGAGATTGAGAGACCATAGGCGATATCTTTTTAACTTCACCAAGCCCAATTACCCCTGTAAGATTTCTTTTCTCATCAATCTCGCTACTTTTTCCCCCGTCGAACTTGTTTATATTTATATTTATCCCAGGCTTACAGGCCGCTGGTACAAGACGTCGCGCCTCGCACTTGAGGAATGTCTTTGGGGTCTCTTTTAGTCGACTGGTAACAGGACCGCGCTCTAAGCAGCGGAGATCATCTTCTAATTATCTGCCCATTCGTCATCCGACGAAAAACCGTGGCAGCACGACGCCCCACCGTCGAATACGTATGTCTGTTACTTCGTAAAAAANTTAAAAAAAAAAAAAAAAAAAAAAAAAAAAGAAAAAGAAGTATTCTCGCAACACAGCGATACCATTCGTGTCATCACGCGCACATTCTGTATCCTATTTTATCACTTTCAGAAACACGTTATACCAAGATTAATACAAAATCCCTTAAATCCCTCGAATAATAGGATCAAATACTCGGTTGTTCGTGTCGTTAGAATATAATTAGCATCTCATCTGTATTGAATGTCTTGGGACAAGCATTTTGAAGAGATAGGAACTCATCTATCACTGTATCAAAGGTGGAGAGAATCGGTTATTTTGGCGTCGATAAATCGATGACAAGAGCTTCCTCGTTTGCAAGAAGAATGGATCGGCCCGAGCGACCCTTGTAGTCGGAGGTGCAATAAATATCCCGAAAAAAGTATTTGCGTCGTGGTTACCGGGACCACGAAGTGTCGTTTACCGGCTACTAATTGTCAGATGGCGACGTAATTGTCGCGTTTCTCGCGCGTTTTTCGAGACTTCTCTTCGCTCCGGTACTACAGGGATCGTCGGCTAAAACCGTACCGCCTCTAATTCACTCGACGCGAAACGCGTCGTGCGATGTGCACGCTTGTGCACGTGTAAATTCAGGAAGGATTCCAACTCGAATGCTGGGAAACACTACGTGCAGATAATAATATCAAACAGTACAAGTTTCACGTGTTTACATTTTAGATCTGAATGGTTGCATCTGTTGCATTAGCACAGTGTTTGCGGACGTTGCAATTAAGGAGGAGTTAAATCCATCTTACATGTTTATCTTTCTAACAACCTTTCCTCTGAAAAGAAGTTTTTCGGAAACTTTTTTCTAACGGAGGTTTTTCATCTTTCGATGAAAGAAGAGCGTGACATTCTTTGCCGGAAAAGATTCGAACGAACCAGCGGAAAATATTTTCGGAGGGTGCGCGGCTCATTTGTCGTCGACTTTCTGACTCGGTTGCATTGACGAACGAGCTCCGCGAAGAAGAAGAAGAAGAAGAGAGAAGAAAGGGTTGGTGTGAAAGGCAACGGTGCAAAAAGGAGCCTAAGACACGAAGAAAGCTGACGGAGGAAGCCAACGAAGAGTACTGTGAGCCGAAATAGAATACCACGCCCTCTAGTTTACCTAATTGCTGCGAGCCACGGTGAACTTGTCTCCTAATTATTCTGTGATGAATGGCGAGAGCACGGGTAGAAATGCGCGATAAAGCGTGGCTAATTTTCATTCGTTCGGAGTTGCACGATTTCACACTCGTGGTCAACTAGCAAGATAATTAATCCACGCATGTGAGTCGTACCGATTGGACGTTTCAGAATAGACAAATCACTAGATCTTCTTTTATGATTGAAGAGACTGCTTTTTTAAATTAATGTCATAAAATGCAAAAATTTCAACGAAAGATGTCTCGGTTTATATCCCAAGAAATTAAATAATTTTGAGTCTTAGATCATAGTTTGGCAATCAACGAAGATGATATGTGACAGACAGTTGTAAGATACTTTATACATTTGGAAGAGGTAACCAAATCAGAAAATGAATGGCTTCTTAAGAATCAGAGAAATTAACTCGTAAAAAAGAAGAGTAGGGATGATTTTACTCGTTCACGAGGCAGCTTTCGCAAAGATTTACGTGTCTCGTTGATCGCTTTGTAGTTGGATACGACGTCCCACATATCTCAGTCAAAACACACAGCACAAACAAGAATTGTCCTTTCCTTAGATCTCGGATTTATCGCGGTGACCATTACATTGCGTAAATCACGCAAGACAAGAGTGGACCTTGGTGGAAATTAGTAGTCGAGAATTTAAAACTTTTGTTAAAATAAAATTGAGTTCAGCCAACTATCGGTTGCTCTTCGTAGCAATTATGGTTCTCACAGGATAACTCTCTAATCCGAGAAGGAATTCTTGTACGACTGATAAATTAAAATAAATCAAGAACGTCTCATTAACGTAAAATGGGAATCAAACCGAGTGAACTCATGAATTATCACAGAATGATATCTGTTGGTATCTTTTTCTCATTCTGTACGGTACAGGAGCACGAAGACACATTTTGCTGCATTTCCATGGCAGAATTAGCAGGAGACAGATAAATAGTGAACGAGGAGCAGAAACATTGAGTGGGCGTGGACCCTGCAGGAAGTAATGGATCAAACTCACGGGCAACGGTCCTCCGCGTAAACTTACGAATTTGTTACCACGTGAAGGAAGCATATGGATTCTGCAACAATTACTCCCTTTCACGTTGGTAACAATATCCGAATTAAGTGGAAACAATTACCTATTATTACGTAGCGTGTAATAATCGCGACGTTGGAAGACACAAAATAATGATGGTGTTTCACATTCGTATCAGAATATTTGCGTCGCCGTACATTGTCACGGATTTTACGACATGCTTTATGAATTATTTACTTAGAGTTTTAATAAGAAATTTCCAGATGATGAGTAGCAATTAAAATGTAAACGATAGGTAATGTAACGAATGATTAGGATTTTGAAAGAATGATGTGGTGTGTTTGCGAATGATTTACACGATACTATTTTAGTATTCGCAATATTTGCTTCTCAACAATTGAGATGTCTTCCTTGATCGTACAATTTGAGGAAATATAAATACTCAACAGATATGATACGATGTTTTAAATGCCTTTCAACTGAAATAACTTGATTGTTTGTCGTTCGTCGAATTGAAACATCTCAACGAGCTTTTATCCCTTGTTTTCACTTGATATACCTTTATTAACCAAGTAATTTGACAAGACAAATACAAGTGTGCGGCACCTGTATAATTTGTTGATTATACACCGTATAATCTTGCGAAACAGAGACTATTATTAAATTGAACATTGTAAGCACCGTTTTATGTGTTCTTTCAATATATAATTTTATTTCGATGCATTTAATTCATAGATGAATTTAATTTTAATATGAATATTAACGAAATTTCTTTGTTTTAGTAGAATTGTTTTACTAAATTTGAATTAATTTTCATTGCAAATCAACTGTAATGTAATTTTAAGAATTTCAAGTCAGCTTACCGTAACACATTTCTGACTCCGGGGTCGAACAAACCAAATCACCATCATTGAATTCAATTTCTTCTGTTACGGACATAGAAGAATCTGGCGCTACCAATTTTCGTTCCTCCGAATCATTTGCTATTTAAATGAATTTCATTTTTTTAAATTCCTCCATTAATTTTCATGAAATGGAAAATAATTGTTTTATTCACTTACATTCGTGAGTATGCAAATACGTCTCGGTCTGAACCGATATACGAATTTCCTCTTCGACAGGTTTCTTGCTTGGCGCTAAAAGACTTTCGATACTGAAAGAGCATACTTTTGGACTTTCAACCAATTCCATCGATCCTCTGTTGGCTTCTGATGTTTTCACGCGTTCTTCCGACATCCTAAGTCCTCAAATTTCTCGCACTACCATCTAGATTTCCATTCGGTATCTCGATTATAAAACGATCAGATTGATTAGATATCTTCTTCGATACTTCGAGATATCGGTCTGATGTGGCCCTCTGACAGTCGATCTCTCAAAAGTCACTGCACATTTATCCACTATGCTTATCACTATCGCATCACAATCACTATCTGTTTGTACAATGATCTGTGGGTAATTAACGAAACATTTTGAATTTCATTCTACGGAAGATAGAATGATAGATGTAACTGATGAAGTTGCAAGTACGAAATCGATTCAGATCATTCATAGATAGCCGTGATCCGTTCGTGGGATTAGAGTCGAAACCAGCGACTGATTGTCGGGGTTGCTCGCGATGTCCAACAATTTTTTTTTTTTTTTTTGGCAACCAAGTCAAATTCTTCGTTCTTCGAGGCGGTGTCGAAAAGCCACGTGCTCATAACGTCACTGTATGTTCAACCAATCCCAAGAAACTTTGGGCGGTTCTTGGCAAGCACGTGCGTTTCTGGAAGGAGCTCCTAATGATCTCGTACAGCAAGACGGTAGCAGTCACTAAACGGTGGTAATGAGATGTCCATAAATTTCTGTCACCGTCATGAAACGCTATTTAATAATTGTCTTGACAGAAGACGAATGCAATTTGATATGAATTTTCAATCTGCTGCGTCTGTATCTGATATGATTCTAGGAATACCTTGATCTTATCGAACGTCATTCCTTCAACTAGGAAGATACGAATGATCAGTTTCTTTTTAATATTCTAATAATTGGATGATAGTACAGTGAATTAATATTCAAACAAGAAAAGTAGAAAGAATGAAAGAATAAATGCAAAGAGTATATAACGCGCACCTACACGTAGCTATAAATTATACGCGCGATAATCGGAATGAAAAATTGAGTGTCTTCAGTGTATTATTAGATCTTTGTCAAAAGTCTACAGAAGTCTGAATTTCAATGACTTCGTAACGAAATTTTATGATGCAATATGTCTGTGTAGTGAGGCCAGTGTACAATCATTCATACGTTTAATGAGATTATTAGATGCACAATTGCATATATTAATAGGATGGTGATAGGGATGATAGAGTGATACAAGTTAACAGATGTGAAACTTGGCTGCGATTATGCGAACCAGCGAAATACACTGCAGAAATTTGTTTTCAAACTGCAGCTAGCCAAGTTGTGATTCTTCTTGAGTGAATCAAACCAAAGATATTGGCGAACGATTGATTCTGACTCAAATTTATTTATATCCATCATAATTCATGTTAATTCATCCACTTTTTATTTCGATACAATATAAAACAGAAAAAACAAAATAAAATCTTTTGTCTTCGGAGAAATGCATTGCAATGAAGCATAGCAGACATTAAGTCGTTGAAAGGACTTGTAGGTGTGTCTGTAAGCTCACGTTACCTAACGACACTCCTCTCACAGATTTTACAATATGTTATGCTGCCAGAAAGCTGACACTTTTAAAGGAACAAGTCGGCCAAAATGTTTGTTAATTTTACGCTTAATTGGTGCCACAATCGATAGCACCAAGATAGGAAGGAATAAATTATCGATTCCTTTGAATGCGTCAAACGGAGCAGTCGAGACACTTCTCTGGCATTTATGTTCTATCGTTTCCTTGAACATATTTTTGGAATCATATTTCATCACATGAAAAATCGCACGTCATGATTCCATGTTCTCACCGTTGTAATAAACTGTTGTGTATCATCTTACCAGCTACTTGGTGCCATTAACTGTACAGCTTGCGGAATAATCTACATAGGACGTAACAAGAAAACTGACGACTTGTATAAATTTTTTATATATTTTTTTATTATTTATATAATAACAGAATAAAAGCTTTCTATATAATCGATACATTTTGCTCTTTATTGTAAAATAAAATGTAATGTGATTGCTATCCTTAATATAATTCTTGTTACCCGAAAATATATTATAACTTTGATTAATGTGATATAACAAAATAATTTGTATTTCAAAGAAATCTCAAAACATATAATATAACTTAAAACCCACAATAAATTTAATACTCGTACTACAAATATAAGGATGTATATTTCATGTCCTTTTCAGAATGTAAACTTATCTGTCGTATCGCAATTAAATAACTGCGTTTGGTCCTTACATTATTTGTAACAAATTAAAGTTATCATTTTAACGATTTAACATTTAAAATGATACTGGATCGTGAAGAATCAGATATTTCTCTTCAATAAGTATACGACATAAATAAATTTCTTTTTTTGAATAAAATAAGTCGTGATTCGACGTGTCATCATAATTTAATTTAGTAGTAATTTTGATCGTGACGATTGCAGTGCGATAGAACAGAAAGATATAAAAGTTTAACAAAATATATTTTTAAGTGGAGATATTTTTAATTTGTCATTTCTGTATCTAAAGTTCTGATTAATGAAAATTTTGATTAAACTAAATCCCGTTAGAACTTTGATTTATAATAATCTACATTTGTTGCGTTGAATTACCATTCCATGTATTATTCTCATCATTGTCATCTCCACTTGAATGTAGTCTATGTACATTCCCCTCGGTTTTGATGGTTGTATTTCCTTGATTACCCAAATATCTTCTAACCAAACTAAACGACATAAATCATTATCATTCGTTTCTTCTCTTTATTTGCGTAAATAAAAAACCTACCTTGATGAACTAGCAACATTCTGAAGATTCGCTGTAACTGCATTTTCTGCAATGTTCTCTGTATCGTTCTTTTCAACAGAATTACTTGGTTGTTTCGGGATGTTTCTGCGTCCGGTGATATATCCTATTAGGTAGTAGTACACAGCTGTGAAAAGTGCAAAAGTAGACCAAACGAACCGTGGCAAGATACTAACATCTTGCGTAGATGTTACAGTTGTTGTGACGTTCGACTAAAAATTTTAAATCAGGAATTATGAGGAATCTCACACGAATAGGATAAAATGTTTCATTGAAATATGAAATAAAATTACACTTTTCAAAGGCAGGATTAGAATGACTGCTGTAGGAACTAATTCCAATTCTAAGAGAGTTTTATCATCATCTTCATGCATTAATTCCCGTCTTGGAAAAGAGGTTGACATCGCAAATTGACGAAATGGTAAATTAATGTTCTGAACAACGTAAGTACGTAAATCGCGCAAAGTACTTGATGGTTCAAACTGCGCAATGTAAGGATTGCCAGATGGCAATCGGAATTGTATTCTACTGACAGTTGCGGTGGATATCGGTGATTCAGATGATTCTGAATTACATTCTTGCTGTCCATGTTGCTATATTTGACAAGTATATATTTGTACTATATATAAGAAAAATAAGTTTTATATATTTCTTCCATACAAACCTGTTGCATTGCTAATTGTTTTTGTTTCCTTTCTAATTTATCTTGAGCAATTTGTTGCAAAACTTTCTCCCGAGCTGCTGCATCAGCAGCTTTCTCTTTCATTCTCTCTTCATAAGCTTGTTTCACCTCTAGATCTTGCTGCTTTTGCCGCATTTTTTGCATATCGCGACCGATTTTGCGCCGTTCTATTTCTCTTTCTCTATTTTTTCGTTCTTCCTCTTCTATACGTTGTTTTCTTTGTAACTCTATTAGCTGCTGTGCTCTTTTAATTTTTTCCTAGGGATGTACAATATTTTAGTTTTTTTTTTTTTATCATAATAATTTAAATAAGAAATCTTTATGTAATCATACTTCTGGTGTTAATTCTTTGATCGATGTCTCATTTGTATCATTGACTGGCTCTGGTGACTCATTAGTTTTCAAGCTTGTGGATGGTTCTTGTTTAATGTCATTCTTAATTATATTATTACTTTTATCTTCTGATGTAGCTTGAGTTAATGGTACTTCTACACTTGATTTTGTTATGCTATCATTTTTTTTATCTATATCAATTTTTATATTAACATTATTAGCATTGCTGGCAGCAGTAGCTTTTTGTTCTGCATCTATCATATCAAGGGAGGCATTTTTATTTTTTCCTGCTTTTGTTAAAACTAAATCAATCTTAGTAGCTAAATCAGCTGCTGTTGTGCTGCCAGCAATAATTTCCAACGGTGTACCATTATCGCCAATGAAAAACAGGGATGGTACAGGTACCAATTGATCTGGTCAAAAATACTTAGGAAAATATGAAATTTATATGTTATGTATATATCACTATGTATATACTTCTAATTATATATATATATTGTTTTAATAAATCAATTTAAAGATTATCAGAAACATTATATGAAAGGATACAAATCTGAGCAAAAAATCTGTAAGTCTCAGATCCACTTTCCAATCTTATTGCTACAAAATCTTCCTGTTCCAAACGACAAGAAACTTCTGTAGCATTGATTGCTTCTGCAACCCGTGCAGAAGTGTCATCTTTTCCTACAAGTAGATTACAAAGCAATTTGTTTTATTACATTCATAAAACAAATAAGGCATAGTTATTATGATAAAATTTGAAAATAAAGTAAAGTTTATAAGTATATCATAAATTAAATGAAAAACGCATGAAAGCAATAACAGATTGAATAACTCCTTAACCTAACATTATAAATACATACCTTCAATGAATACAACAAAAATTGCTTTTCTAGATTTTGATGTTGCCACTGCCTCATTAATACTACCTTCAAACCACTTCATTTTTCTGCAAAATTAAAAATATCTGTGTTCTATTGTGCTCAGTTGACAATGACGTAATGAAAAAGTGGTTTTAATCACTAGAAATTTTTTTACAACTTGACGTTTCAAAATCTACGTAAGGTTTGGGTAGGTAACTATTGAATTTTATTAACGAACTTAATTCATTGTATTGAGTATGATTGTTTATTTATTTTCGTTCAGTAAAATGTATAATAAAATAACTAAAACAAGTATCTGTAACCTTTCATAATCTTGTATGAATTTGCGAAAATAAGTCTTGTGAAATGCAAGTCAGTATCAGATAAAGTTATTCGTGACTTAAGAATAGTCTTATTGTTAAATCGATGAGAATGCGGCTAGTTGTAAAACAACCTTTAGGTATAAAGATTAGACAAGAACCAATGGATATGAACCATTGATCTAGTGTGACTAGTGTGTAAATAAGGATGTAAGTTAGTGAGTGGAAAAGATAAAATTTATCCATGAACCATTTATTACCACTGTCTCAAGATTAACAGAATTGAACAATGGCTCATTTTGTAAAAAAAGGTAAGTATTAATGCCATTTCTTCTCTTATTAAGCTTATTAAAGTTGAGATGAATGTTGGAAATAGTAGCGGTGAGTTATTCTGTTGGCCACACTGTTTGTATCGCCATGTTCCTTGCTTTTCGTTGATTTGTCAGAAGGAATAGTGGAATAAAATAAGGTAATGGCGAGTGCGTCTGTTCCGCATATTTGATGTTGTGATAAAGTTGGGCGTACGCGTCCGCCTTATCAGTCGTGACAAAGTCTTTTTATTACGAGTATGTCTACTTAATTTACATATATATATACATAGTTTTTAAAGATATAACCGACAATAAAAGGAATAAAGTGTCCAGTGTACGATGTCGGTGATTCATTAGCGGAATATGGAAGTGTACGATAGATAATAAAAGATAATCGTATTGTACGAAAGAAAATTTACAATTTTATATATATATATATTTTGCAACACACATGTTTCTTTCATCGTATTCACTTCCTAAACTTTGAGAAAGAATTTTAAGCATACTATTACATTAGAAATAATCGATAAACGTATAACAAGATAATATGAAATCAGAACGAGCATGAAGGTAACTGTGTGTTTCGACAACGTCAGAGTGGTGGTCCCTTGTGGGGATGGAACCCTACTGGTTAAAGATTTAATGCATGAGGCTATTCTAAGGTATAAAAAGGCAACCGGGAAAAATGATAATGCATTAACTGTAAGTAGTTTGTCCTCCTTAACTGGAGGTGGTCTATTAGATCCAGATGATAGGTTATGTGATGTAGCCGATGACAGAGAGCAGATTGTTGCTCATTTTGTGAATACTGATGTCACACATGCTGGTGGTGATGGAGCAAGTTCAGTTGGAACAAATAGTCCTGATTTTTGTCATCCAGAAAGCAAAGAGCAATCTTACGCAATTGATACACATTCCTCTATTCCTATAAGTGGTATTAAAAGGGAAAGCACCAAAAGATTGTCGATGCATGCACTGTCAAACAGGGAACCTTATTTAACCACATATTCTGCTCAGTCACTTCCCAGAGAGTCTCGGCGTAGAGAACCACTGGGACAAGATGCCAAAGTGTCATTTAAATATGCAAATGCTAATGTAGAACCAGGAGATCAAGGAGAGATTCGAGAAATTGTGATAAAGAATGAAGCAGGGCCACTGGGGCTTCATGTGGTGCCATGTTATGATTTGTTGGGTAATGATCAAGGCCTTAGAGTCGAAGGTATTGAACCAAATGGCAGAATTGCTAAAGATGGGCAAATTGACCTGCATGATAAAATCATTAAAATAAATGGTCACAATCTATTGCATATTCCATTTTCTAAAGTGCAAGATATCTTTCGTACCTGTATGACAGAATCATGCTTGCAAATTTCTGTAGTAAAACATAAGAAACCACATGAAAAATCATTGCATAAAAATCATGGCAATACTAGTGGAGGATCAGAAAGAGAAATTGATGACAGTGTTAAAAGACTTCAATGTAGTAATTACAATTTGCTGCAGACAGCCAATACCCGTAAAATTGGACGTATGATAGAGATAGAATTGACAAAAGGTAGCAATGGCCTTGGATTTAGTGTCACGACACGTGACAATCCTGCAGGAGGTCATTGTCCTATATATATTAAGAATATATTACCAAAAGGTGCTGCAGTTGAAGATGGTAGATTAAGGCCTGGAGATAGACTGTTAGAAGTAAACAATAAAGAAATGACTGGTAAAAGTCAAGCAGAAGTGGTTTCACTTCTCAGAAGTATTTCACCTGGTGGAAAGGTAAGAATGGTGGTATCACGTCAAGAAGAAATTTCCTCCAGTATTTCAGATCCTCATTCTCATAATACTTCTACAAATCAAGCCTCAGAAACTACAGATAATTCAAAATATTGGAATACATTGAATACATCGCCTATAAAAAAGAATACTGAAATGCAGGATAAACTTAATACCCATAATTATGATAATTGCACATTTAAACCAGTGAAATCTCCATCAGAAGATATTGTTTTATCACCGCGTAAAAATCGTATGATATTAACTTTAGACATACCAGTACATGATTCAGAAAAAGCAGGATTAGGTGTTAGTGTTAAGGGGAAGACTACTAACACAGATGAAAACACTAACATGGATCTAGGAATTTTTATTAAAAGTGTTATTCATGGAGGTGCAGCCTCCAGAGATGGAAGATTGAGGACCAATGATCAATTGCTCAATATTAATGGAGTATCATTATTAGGATTATCAAACTCGGATGCAATGGAGACATTGAGAAGAGCAATGCTCAGTACAAACAGTCCTGTAACTGGAGTGATCACTCTTACAATAGCCAGGAGGATATCTTCCTATGATAAAAACTTATCAGAAAATCTGTCCTCTCAATGTAAATTGGAATCGGCTAACAGTATATATATTTCTGACTCCACGAAAGCCAGTGAGGGCAGAGTAAAGGAAAAGAATAGCTTGAACTCTCAGACGGACATTTTAGATAACGGCGGTTTACTGTCTTGTGTGACCGCCTCTCCATGGAATCCAGTTATCGATAGATTAACCGAGCAGTATAATAAGAATAGTTTAAGAAATGAAAGTTATTGCATCGCTACCAATAAGACGTGGATAGAACCTGCAGGCAACGTGAAGAAGATAACGATAGGACAGCGCGATGATCGCACGGAACCAGTATTGCTAGAAGACTCCAATGATCCACAGTGCAATGAAACTAAACGAAACACAGACGATAAAGATAGTCAGTATTCCGGAGATCCGACTTACGATAGTCAATTATCCTTGGAGGAATTTAGTTCCAATAAATTTTCCCGCGACGGTTTAGGTAGGCAGAGTATGTCAGAGAAACGTCACGCTGCTTTAGATGCCAAGAACACAGATACTTATAAGAGAAATAAAAAATTACGGGAAGGACGTGAGAATAAGAATCAGGAACAAGCGAATCAGAAACATTCGAATCAATCGTTCGATTCGGAAGATCCAACCAAAAGAGGATATAAATCGGACACTTACGATAAGAATAAAAATAAAAGCAGCACTATCGAAGGTAGTACGGCAAGTGAAAGCAGTATGAAACGATACGAGAAGTCCGTGGATCCTGCTCAATCGGATTATGTATACACTATACATGGTTGTAATAATAAGTATACTTCACCGAGGAAGCATTGGCTTGTCGATGATGTACATGGCGAAATAACAAGTAGCAATAATTTTAAAGACGGTCGCGAGGGTTTTCCAAATAGTCGGGGGGACGTGAAACAAGCGTCTCTCAATTCTGCTTTAGATGATCGATACAAACGTTCACGAAAGAAAGGTGGCATACGTTCGATGCTTCGATTAGGGAAGAATAGAAAATCGCTCAATTTCGGTGATAGTATAGAAGCTCATCACGAATCCAGTAATTATTGTAGCGGAACGATTAATTATATCGCATAATACACAAAAGGGATAGATACGTATAACGTAGATACGGAATTAAATATAAATGTACTTGTCCATAACACCTAGAAAACACGTATTATACACGAAATATACATATTTTAACACTCATTGCACGTGCGCTCATATACATACATACACACACATACACACACATATAATATGTACTTAAATATGTATGATTTGTCCAAAGTGCCTTACATCATTGCAAAAGATTTATTCTGTATATATTTATAATTTTTATAATTGTCTTTAATTCGTATCGATCATGTATCTATTTTTAAAATAAAATTATGCACTTAATACAAGTAATGTGTAACTAATAATTTATCGATATCCATTAGATTTCTAAAAATTTGATAACACTGAAAATTTTGTAAATTTTAATTTATATTCAAAGAAAGCAGCGTTCGATACAAACAGCGTGTTGCCAAAGTTAAGTGAATTACGGTAGGTACATTAATTAAATAAATTGCGAAGAAATTTATCTTTGTTACAAGTATGATACATGTTCTCTTTTTTCTGTTTTAGCACTTCAGTTAACTCCAAATCAATTACTGTACCAACAGAAGCGTTATCGGGGCAAGATAAACATTAAAAAACCAAAAATATATTTTAAGAAAAAGGTACTAAACGAATTGCTAACTCCGTTCTTTATCAATCCCAACAAGGATAAATCTCTGGAGCAATTTTGTATAGAGTCAGGAGAGAAAGAAATCGAGAAACCGCTTGGACCTTACGATCAAATCATAGCGAGGGAAGTTCGTAATTGGTTTGATAATTCTAAAATGGTTGTTTGCTTGCACGTGAACAGTATAAAAGAGCTGGATGTATTCGATATTAAGGTTGCATTATTCAAAGAAAATATGCATTATAAGTATTATGGGACTCATATTATAAACAATGTTATTAAAAATTCACCTTACGAAGCTCTTGCCCCGTTAGTTAGCAAGTGCACTTCGTTTGTGTTTAGTCCTGTAATAAATACGATTACATTAGGAAAGATTATCAAGAAAAGCAAGAAAATGTTCATAATAGGTACGTAATATGAAGTATGTAATCACAGAACGATTTTTCTAGCTAATTCTTTTTGTAGGTGGAGTGTTGGAAGGATTGGTCTTGAATTCCAGTGATTTTCTGAAATACGGACAAATGGATATGGTGTCAGTACAGTTGGGTTTGGTTCAAGTATTGCAGAATGCGGGAGGCCTTAACCTGAATCAACAACTCACACATCATCAGACGATGTTGGTGTCACGGCTAAAACAGATCGGTACAAATGAAACAATCTCTGACGATAAGAAATAAACAATCAGTGCCTGTATAATTGTAAAACTACCTGTATCTACATATAATTTATTATATGTTCATGCGCACGAAGCTTTGAGTAAAGTAATATTTATTCTCCCCGTGTTCCCTACATTAAAAAATATGAACGATCGTTGGAAACTGAGGTATTTGCCTCTTTATTATTTTTTAAATACTTCCAATTCCATAAAGGACGGTTCCGCGATAAGGTTAATCGTTGAGCAAACAGCCTATGTGACGTATACGTATGTAACTTATCAGTATCAGCTTTATCGGTTATTAAACTCGTTAATAAATACATATCGAGCCATTAGACGCATTGACTAGTGGTTTGCTCCGATACATCAGAACCGTGATAATGGTGTAAAAATATTTTGGCTCATGATGCACTGCTTTCTCTTTGTTGCATTGTATGCGCCGTTGTTCGTACGTCGTTGCAGTAATTGTATCTTCTGACGGTTCTCAGTGACAGTAATTGCAACGGGGATGACACTTGACTCCATTTTCTCCGCATCTACAGCCTCCGGATGTGTCCCCCTTTCCCTGCGAACAACCAAAATACGATCAATAAAGAAATAAAACAATCAAGTTATTATTACACGTATTAACATTTCAATATCGACGTTATTACGTATCGATTACTCACTCCTGGGCCCCAACGCGGGCCTCTCGTTACCCAGCATATTTCAGTTTTGCACATTGAACAGCGTAACCAATCGCAACCCCATTTTTTCATTAAGACAACTGCACAGGTGGGACACGCGAGTGCCTCACCCCTGTCCACCATTTCCTCGAGCATCTCCGCAGTTCTTCGCGATTCTTGATCCGTTTCTTTCGATAATCTTAGTTCTTGTTGGTACTGCTTGCAATTTTTTCCAGCGTGAATGGCCTACGGGAAAAGTATTTTTTAAACATTTGTATTAATGTAATGTATTATTTGAATTTCACTTTTTATTAATATTTGTTAATGTTTTCCAACCTGACAAGTAAGACAATTGTTTGCATTGCATACAGGGCAAAGAAAATTGTTCACATCGTCGTCGTAGATGCACCAACCAGGGCAGTCTGGAGTTTTACAGTGGAACGCGTTATTTCCAGCATTATTTTCCGCTTGAGCGATCGATTTCGCTAAATGTTGCTGATAGACTTCAGGTTCGACGAGCTGAATGATCGTATTGTGATTAAATTTTTGGTGAGTACTTACATTTATTAAAATCTTAGCGATTAACTTACTGCTTTTATTTCACGTTCTTGGAGAGTAGATTCACAGGTATACTGCGAGTCTCTGTAAGGACATTTCACTTCGGCTTCTTCGCAGTATCGAATTGTATTGGCAATACACGATCTAGGGAAAATTGTTCGTTATTAATGTAATGAAACGTATTGTAATTTTATTTCAAATTTAGTCTACCTGCAAAACATATGTAAGCAATCCCTTAAAATCACTCCTTCGCGAGGGCCGTATGTAACGAAGCATACGGGACATTCGATCGGTTCGGAGTTCGGTATAACGTCGCAGTTTTCTAAAGAAATTAATTCCTCGTACCTGTCCATCTTTACTTCCACTGTCGTACTCTCTTCTATCTCCTGCAAGTTCTTTTTTTGCAGTTTGTAGAAAAGATTTTTACTTAGGATATAGAAAAGTATTACAACAATGATTTAATACCTGAGGTTCTTCGACTTCTTCCTGATCTTCTTCTACAATCTGCACAACTTCCGTAGACGCATCATCGTTCACACCGTCGTTCATCATATTTGACACTTTCTCACCTGCACTACTAGCTTTTCCTACATGCATCGCATTTTCAAGTCTTAATTCTGCAAGCAATTGATTGTTAAATTCACTGTTACACGTTTATCATTTGCTTATTATAACTATTACCTGGAGCTACGAGATATAAAAATACCGGTGAACCATTGACAGCCTGTAATTCATTCAGAGTCGCCTCATCGCGATTCGCTAAATTTTTGCCAATAATCCATCGCTGCACGTTCATCGGTATCTCGAATTCTGTGTGTATCTTTGCTTTCAACTCGGCCACCGTCATTCCGCTCGGCAACTGTTATTATATTTGGGCTCAGTAGTACAATATCTAATATCGTCATATGGATTGGCAAACCTTCGCTACCTTGATTTGAGTAGGTAACGCTATTTACCTGAAGAGGTATCGGTCCCTGGTGAGCAAGTTTGTCTTCAATGTACATATTGACTTTAATCAACTGATCTTTGAGACGGGCTGATCGTTGTCGAATCACGGAACAATGGATCTTAAGCCGGGCTAGCTCCTTCGCCAAACCAGCTGCTTGTTGATGGTAACCAGATGCAATTGCCGCCTCTAACTTTCTCAGTAATCGGTTTATGGCCAGTGTGTTCATATTCTTTTCCGCTGAATTGTCATCTGCGACAAACAGAGAGGACACGAACGTTAAAATAGTAACAGGCAGAGGGACAAATTACATTAGACAAATGACTCATTCGAAACATCCCGCAACTATCTGGAACAACCGACTTAGTCGAAGTTACCTTCTTCGCTACTCTCGAACGTGTCTTCTTTCATAGTGAATTTCTGTTCAACTGTCGGTCGTGTTCTCGACACTTTATCGGTACTATCAATTTTCGTAACGCTATTTCGCGAGGAACTAGTAAGTTGTTTGGGCGAGGGTGGAACACGCGCATTCGCGTAGATCGATTGCTCGATCACATTGGCGTAAGTGTTTTCGTTGAGCGCGGATGTTCTCGTCGTTTTTGTCGCCTCGATCTCGGCGAAATCCCGCGGTCTTATCAGCTGAAACGTATTTTTCACCAGTCCAGAACCACCTACGCTCTTCCCGGACGTTTTATAGAGGATATTTTCTTGCTTCCATCCGGAGGTGGACGGTTGTTCTACAGATGTAGATGGCTGATTTAATCGTCGTATATTTCCACTGGTTTGCACAGAACACGACACCTTCTGTTTGTCCAGCTCGTAATCGTTTTGTAACGCTATATTCCCGACCTTCGTTACAGCGGAAACGAAATACGTAGTCTTGCTAGGGGCAGCCGCTGCCTCTTTCTCCAAAGCCGGTTTCTCAGTCACGTCGGTGTTACGTGTCACAATCTTCCCGGGCTTCGAACGCTTTGGTAACGAGTGTTTCATTTCCTTCAACATCTCCTTTAAATCCGTTGTAATTGGATCCTCGATGGTGTTCAATAACGGCGACCTGGTCTTAGCCGATTTCGTTTTCACGTTCTGATCGGCCGGGCGAGAGGCATCCTCGGCGGGTATCGATTTTTCTGACAGCGCGCCGCTCTTTGTCTTAGCGTCTTTCTCCGCTTCCACCAGGATATCGAGCACTTTAGTTACCTTACTTGATATTCCGACTTCCTCCTCCTCGAGAACTTTATTTCTCTGATTATTGTCTGTAGCGTTCGCGCCGGTTGTCCTGCGATCAATAAATTTCAAATCTTTCATACGTAGTTGCTTGTCGATCTCGTCGAATATATCCGAGAATTCTTTTTGAACACCATCGATACGTCGCTTGTCCAGCTTCTTTGGTTCCTCAAAGATGTTCGATGCTGCCTGTTCCTTAGTTTCCACAGAGCCACGAGTAAACAAGGATCTCCGTTGATCCTCGTTACTCGCTTTTCTCTCCTTCTCCTTCCTTTCGTCGGAGATCTCCTGTCTGCATCGAATTTTCTCCTGTATTACAGCCACAGCGCTATCCCTCCGAGCCGCCTGATCGTTCATTCGATTCGCAGCCAGTTGGCTCTGCAAGAACGATATTCTGTTGGAAGTTTCATTCGCCAGCCGATCGTTCTGCTCCTTGGCCGAACTAGCCTTTGCACCCGAAACTTTTGCACCCATCTCCGATCGGGTTTCCGATCGATTTCTAGCTACCTTCTGTTGCGGTGGGAAGTACTTGGATATATCCTTGTCAATGTGACTGGCCTGTCCGCTGGTGGATTGAGTGGAAGATCTCGAATGGTCCTTCCAATCGTTGGCGTACTCGAAAGCCTTCGCGTTCCTCACCACGTCTCGTTCAAATTTCACCGGCTGCGGATCTCTCGTTGCGTTCTTCGCGAAGAAATTGGCGTTCACCGTGACCTTGGTGATGTTGCTGATGGCGTTGAACTTGGAAATCAGAGCCCGCGTGCCACGCCTGGGCGACGAACTTTCCATCGCCGACGTGACGATGTCTTGAACAAGCTCCTCGTTCATCTCGTTCCTTTTCTCGAAAGCGTCCACGAATTTCGACGATTTCAACAGCATCGAGGCTCTCGCTCGTGCCTGTTCCTCTTGAACGATCGCCGCGGCTTCTTTGTCAAGCTCGCTGATGTTCGTCAGGATCGACAGGCCGGATCTTCGTTTTGCTTCCCGCTTTCTGTCCTCCGCTTGACCGCCGCGGTGAAAGAAGCTCAGCCTAGACAAAGACGCATCCACGGAGTAGCCCGTGGAAGAGGACGTGTTCGTAGCAGCGCATTCTTCTTTTAATTCGATCGTCGAGCTTGTTGGGCCTCGGAGGACATCGCCCCTCCTCGACGTTCCGGAATCTCGAGAATGTTCGAAGACGCTCCGTTTGTACCAAGGTCGTGGCATGGCTGTGCTCAGAGTTCCAATGCCAGGCGGCACAGTCTGGTTCGTCTCGTGAAGAACGGCAATGTCCGACGAGCCAGTGCTCGTATCCCTCGCGTTCTTCTCCTTCGTCACTCGTTTCAATTCCCTTTTCGGCAGCAGAACGCCCCCTTGAAGGACCAGCGTGTCGTTGCTCAGAGTTTGCACGTCCTCGTTGGTGTCTGCTCGCGTTTCCACATCCATTCCGCCATCTGTAATCTGTTCCTCGCACGTTTTCTCAAACGAATTACTACCATCGACGATCTTCTCCGGTGGTTTCGGCGCGCGTCGCTTTCGCCTGCTGCTGTTCCTCGGCGTCGTTTCCCGTGCATCTACCTCCGTTGCTTTGATCGAAGCGACTGGTGGATTCGGCGCTCGTCGTTTCCCTTTCACGTGTACCCTCCTGCGGGCGGAGTTCACGCTGTAATGAGCTTTCCGTTCGTCCAACCTCTTTAGCGATTCCAACAGCTGCCGATCGGGAAGCGGTAAATTTCCACAAGAGTTGAAGGTAGTCGACGGTTGCAGCGAGTATCTCGCAGTAATGTCCCTTCTGTGAGAGTGAGCGTTCGCAGGTAGCGTGCAAGCAACATCCGCCAGATCGTTCTCTTTGTTGCCAATCTTTGTAACCTTCGAAGCTCCAGCCGCGAACGGGCCAACTTCGGCCGCTTGCTCTATTATGTCCAACGATAATCCATTGCATTCGCTCAAGGTGCCAGCGTGAAAGGCGAAACTGCGAACGGTGGTCGTACTGTAAAACGTGTCTACGCTCTCGGCGCTCGACGAGACGCTCCGTTGCCGGCCGTTCTCATTCTCTTCTCGGTATTTGTCTCCGGTGGTCTTTCGCCTCTTCTCCGCGGTGGACTCTCGATTACCGGACCGTTTGAACCACTTAAACAGGGAGAATCTCGCGTTGCCACGTCCCGCGTCGTGAACGTTGCGCGGCTCCTGGCCTAAGAAGGACGCCTCCGTCGGGACAACGTCCGACGTTCTTCCTTCCCGGTCGCTGATCCGCACGCCATTGGAGAATGTGCTCGCCTCGATGCTGCATGCGGCTCGCTGTACCATTCTTACTCACCGCATATTTCCTCTCGCAGCCAGCTCCGCCCCACTGCTCATCCGCGGCTCTGCGGATAGTTCTTTATTTAGATTCACTCGAATGTGGTTTTAACTTCCTTCCAGTTCGTCTCTATAGATAAAGGGAAACTCGTGCAACTCGAGTCGAAGAATCGCGTCTTCTGGCACACACACACACACGCATACATACATACATACATACACACACGATACACGGCTCTCGATTTCACGTTAGAATCCGCAATCCCGTTTTCTCTCGAGGGGTCTTAATCCAATCTGTCCCCGAGCTCTCTATCCATCCTCTGATGCCTCTCTAGTTTCTCGTTGTTTTTAGTCTGTCCTCGGCGACGCGAGGCAAAAGGGAAATTCAACAGACAACGAAACGGTTGCCGGCTACGGGCGGAAACTTGCGCGGAACATCGTGTTCCGATCGAGTTACGCGTTTCCACGGCGTGTACGTGCGAGGAATGTATCGCGGAACGGTAAATCGACTGACGAATTTCGCTGCGAAACCGTTCGGCGACGCTGCCGAACACGCACGACAAAGATGCTCTCACACTTCACTATTAATAGACGGGCCTTCTCCTGCCCGTCGGTTATTTTCAAGTCCACTCTTGCTGTCTGCGCGCCCGCTGTCCGAAATCAAAACAGAGAAATACGGCCGTACGTACGCGCGCGTCTTTCAATCGCCAGCGCTAGCCTTTCGTTCGCGACGTATTCTTACGTTCGTTGCGTTCGCAGAAACTTCGATTCTTTCTACGGCTCTTATTTCAGCTGCGACGATACTCGCTTTATACTCGAAGGGAATGAAATGAACCTACGAGACGCGAACTAGTATTATACTAACTTTTGAAAAGTTACCTGAACGACTAACATTGCGATATAGATTGATTTAAATTTTTGTCACGCTTGTTAGCTTTTCGACTGATCCTGAAATAAGGTTACGGTGTAAATCACGATTGACGCGAGTACTTAATAAACCGTGCGCCGGATTTATATACAAACAGCTTAAACTGTCCGATTTACACCGTCGCTGAGATTTGTACCACGGTATATGCAAACTCCGCTTTCGCCCACGGTATTATTTTGGGATTTGACTAATCCCGTGAGAGGGCATGGACCAGCGCGATGATGATCAGCGTCTCGTTTTTGAACCAGCCGATACCGACTCGCCAACGAATGAGTGTCGCCTTTTTTTTTTTTTTTGCAAAATATCCAAACTAGTATACGCGTCATTTGATATCCGATGCTGCTGTTCGTACGTATGTACATATATAAAGCGTGAAATGAACATTTATTACGCGGTTAAGGTTTCAAACGCGGAGCTATCGAGTTTCTCTTCGATTCATCAGTGTCGCATTTTGTTTGCCATTTGCTCGAAAATAACACAAACGTCCGGTTTTGCCGCGATATTTCCTACTTGCCACTTCGGAAAATAAACGACACGTGGGGCTACATTTTTCTCTTATGCAAACATTTTCATACAATTCCAAATAAACTTTCGATCTTGATCAGTCTCACACTTTTACTTTATATTTGATGACCCGCTGCTGCCAGAACATTGTAACAATCTTCCACTTGCTCCCCTCCCCTCCCTGTGAACGTGATTAATCACAGTAAGAAGCTTTGCCAGGGATGGAAGCGTGCCCCGCTGTTAACGAAATTTTTAGGTGATAACGTGGTTTACAGGGACGGAGGGCTCCGTTTCCGTTTGGAAATTAACCGAGCGAGTATTTTTAATTACGTTTACCCGGTAGGAAGAAAGGGCATCAACGAGAGCCAACCAGCACCGGCAGCCAACCTAAGTATGTTTGCTCGAGAGTTTGTACCGCAGCAGTTATATCTCGAAAGCCAAAGCGGTTTCTCTGGAAAACATAACACGCGCGGCCGCGGTCCCGCGTGCAGACGCGCTCGCGTACACATTTACGCTTCGTTCACTCAAACGACGAAGAAACACAATACCGGGGATGGAAGCACGGTGAAAAAGATCCGGCCGTGAAAAAACAAAAAAAAAGGCGACGACGGTGCGTGTTTCCATATTTTATTTAATTACTCGACAACATTCAAAGTCGCTTCCTCGGTGGATCGCGTGGATCCGTGCCCCGCTTCAAGAGGTTCCATTTAAACGAACCGCAAGATACGTGACTCTTCTTGTTGCTCTCGGCGCGCGCCTTTGAAACAGAGAGACGCCCCGCGTTGAACAACCCCGTGCACGCGGGAACCGGGCATTATTCTCGCGCATCCGTGCTCGCATCTTCACGGCGCGTTTAAATCGAACTACAGAGCGTTCCCTCTTATCTTTGCTCCTTACGCTCCACCCTTGTGAACGCCTATCATTCATCGTAATCGATAACAATAGCACGTAGGTTGGCGATGGAACATCGAGCGTTATAGTTATGCATTTCTGATACGGTCTGCTCCCCATCCGCCCGACGCCCCGAAACTGTGACATCCACACTGGAAATTATCATTCGTTCTCGATTTCGTTCGATTATTGCGAGCAACGAGACGGCGAAGAGCGAACGACGTCGCCAAATAAAGTCTTCGAAAAGGCATCCTCCAGAGTGCTCCACGCGATGGAGCCTCCAGACACCATCACAGCCGAATGTTCCCGTGTACGTTCACGAACGAACGACGCCGACGATGCCAACGTGTGCGTGGTCTTAGCTCACTTTTATTGTCGGAAGCCGAACTGGAGCGCAAGAGTCTACTACTACCCTCTTCTCGCTCTTCGCTTCCCTCTTTTCTCCCTCTTTCTTCCTCTTATTCAGGAGTTTATTTCGCGAATCCACCCAACTCCCGTCCCTGGCTTGGCTCGAACCTTCGTTCCACCACGGCACGGGTAGCAACGCCATATCGTGTCCTGAATACAAATCGCGATGTTTCCTTTCGCGAGTTTCCCGAAGACTTTCAGGACGCGATCATTACCATTAATGAAGAAGTCAACGGTGCATCGGGGCTCTTCTCCCTGTCCCTCTTACCATTTCGTTCGAGCACCAAGCACCCTTAGGAAGCACTTGTGGTTGTACCCTCGATCTCTCTCTCTCTCTCTCTCTCTCTCTCTCTCTCTCTCTCTTTCTCTCCCCATGGTTTCTTTCTCGTCTGTCTCCTTGCACTCGAGTTCTCTTTCTTTCGGTATAATTCACCCCGGCGAACGGCGAAGGAAGGAGAAGTTTCGTGGTCGATCGTAATGCATGATTATTCCCTCCGGTATCGGAGCACCGGTTATATCCGCGATTTACAATTTTTATGCCAGATTCCCAGCAGAGCGCCACAAGTCGCGGCCAGCCACGACTTGTGTCGTTGAACTTTCGAAAGGTCGGTGCTGCGGCGCCGTGCCATTGCTTAAAATTTAGTTACTCGTTGGATCCGGCCGATGTTTTATTCAGGTACGTGCTCTGGACCGACGTCGTGCTTACCCGGGTAACAGGGATACAAATTAATCGGTATCCAGGACAATTTTTGTGCTCCCTTCGCTCTCTGACTCCTCACCCTTTGCAACGCCGTGGCGGAAAGTTTCCCGTCATGTAGAACGGGATGTCGATCGTGGCTGGTTGATGTCGCTTCATTTAGAACAACACTCTGTCCTTTCGAGCCTTTAAATTAAAATTAAAGCGGATGTGCTCGATCGCTTTGCTAATTTGCTTCTGTAAGAAACGCCAAACGAGCGACGATCTTAAAAAAACGTCATTAAACAGAACGATAAAGTAAAAAAGGATCGTATTGGTCTGACATACGATCCTCGTCTACGATAAACATGATGTTGTTTGATCAATTTTGTTTCTTTTTATTCGATGGTTCTATTGTCGTTTTCCCCTAATGTCTACGGTGATTTAACTCCGTGCATATTTTGCGAAATTTTACTTCGTGACGTTACATTAGAATGCGTCAGTTTTACGTGAAATTCTTTCCGCGGGAGATATGCAAACGAACGCAGCCGCTTGATGATTCTGAATTCTGAAACTGTTTGATAAGAGGTGGCGAGGTGTCCGATATGGAAATTTCATCACATTTTCTTCAATGGCGTCTGCTCTAGAACTTGCTGTGAGAGAGGCGTGCACCTGAACAGTTCGATTCCTTTCTATTTTTATTTTACTGCGGCGTATAACGTCGCACCTCAAGCTGTCGCCCGTACGAACGAATATCAGATCAATATTCATATACATTCGTATTCCGTATTTTCAAGCCGCATTAATGGAATTTCATTTTTATCAGAACAATAGGGTGGATCCCTTCACGCAAAAAATTTCTTCGCGCGAGTCGTTCGAGTATCAATTTTCACCTGCGCGTACCAAAAGAATATTTGCTGTTGAAAGATAAGAAACACACCGCGTGTGTTTATTTTTCATCGTCCCCATCTCGATTACGCATTCGTATTCCGCAAATTTCCACGCTTTGCATAACCTCTGCTCTTACAATTATCACGAGTTTCTAAAACTCGTGGAACCGTGCTTGGCGCGTTCGATGGATCTTCGTAACAACGTTATTACAACGTTATAACGGTGTTTCCTGAAGTACGTAGCCGAAGAGAAACGGAAAAGGAAGAGAGGGGGAAGGGGGATCCTTGTACTCGGCGCGCCCGATCTGTTCATCGTCAGGCCAGGAAACAGAAGGATCTGCGATACGTGAGGGAAAGTACTTCTTAGACGGACTTCGACTTGTGTGTGCCGGCCCACTCGAACCCTTTGGCTATCTCCTTAGTTACACCGTTGTTCCGCACGTGAGCAAGATAGTTAGATTGTCTTCTCGAAGTTATCCACTGTTCGCGAAATTAGACCCCCGGCTCCTCTCTTCCCCGTGTCCATACGTACCGCAAGCTGTGAGCGTGTTTCAGCAATATCCGCAGTTGCTTGCCGACGAATACACGGTGGCGTTGTGTCCCGCCGGTCAGCCCCGGCCTGACGAGGATTCGCGAAATAATCGCCGATACGCGCGTGCCAAATTACATTGCCGCTTAAATTTGTTTCGTCGCGCTGCGAAATAAATTATGAAATTGGCCGATGGGGCCCTCTTTATTCCGAGGCGAAATTCGATTTCTCTCGGCCGTTTTAACGTTGTCACATCCGACCGGCAAACCAATTACCTCCTCGATAATCATAAAATTAATCCAAACTCGACCGCCCTCGGCCGAGCTAAAGATCGATGGCCAGACACCCATCCAGACGATTTTCGTTGCATTCCATTGAATTTCCCCCACTCCCCCCCCCTATTCTTTCTCCGTTTGCGAGAAATCGGATGACCTCGGATTCCCCAACAGACATTCCCATTAACCTTACGAAACGTTTTTATCTCGCGAAAGTAACGCGTCACAGGGAACCTTCCAAGCCTGACATTCCAGCGCGATATCGATCACCTTCGATCAGCTATAAAAAAATTGATTTAAATGTATATCTTCCGCTTCAATCTCACGGCGTACGCGCGCGCGATTTAACGCGTTTAACACGGTTGCACGACTGCGGATCAACGAAGTAGTCCTCCCGAATGGTATTAACCGAAACGGACGTACGCAGACGGTCGGATGGTCGTTCATCAGAAACGATAGCAGATCGATCCTGATAATCGAACGAACGCTATGTAGGAGAGGGAGTGAGGGAGGGAATGGCCTGGAGAGAGGGTTCGAATCCCTTCTACGAGTGGCCGATTTAGAGAATGTAATCGCCCCTTATCTTCGTTGTTCGTTCTCTATTTGCCAATGGAAACA